TGCCATGGCACTCTACCCAGGAGGACAGCTTGAGGCTCTGTCTCAAAAAAAAAAAAAAAATAATAAAGTTGCCTAGACAATTTGGTTTGGAGGTGTGAGAATTGTTATTCCCAAACATGTAAGTGTTGTATAGCCATAAATGTCAGCTTTGCTCTGGCTGAAGGAGCTTCTGGAATGCTTAGTGACACAAAGCAATGCCCACAAATAAAGGAGGATACACCCCTCCTCTTTAATGTACATTAAAGGAAGCAGGTTAATTTTCAGGTAATCAAACGGTAGTTATGTCACATATGTCACTGGGCGTGGTGGCTCACGTCTGTAATTCTAGTTCTCGGAGAGGCTGAGAAGGGTGAATTGCTTGAGCTCAGGAGTTTGAGACCAGCCTGAGCAAGAGCAAGACCTTGTCTCTACTAAAAATAGAAAAACTGGGCTTGGTGCCTATAGCTCAAGCGACTAGGGCGCTGGGCACATACATCAGAGCTGGCAGGTTTGAATCCAGCCTGGGCCTGCCAAACAACAATGACAACTATAACCAAAAAATAGCCCGGTATTGTGGCAAGCACCTATAGTCCCAGCTACTTGGGAGGCTGAGGCAAGAGGATCGCTTAAGCGTAAGAGTTTGAGGTTGCTGTGAGCTGTGATGCCATGGCACTCTACTCAGGGTGACAGCTTGAGATCCTGTCATGGTACTCTATGCAGGGTGACAGCTTGAGACTCTGTTTCAAAAAGAAAATCGAAAAACTGGCTGAGTGTGGTGGCTCATGCCTGTAATCCCAGCATCTGAGAGGCTGAGGCGGGCAGAGAACCTGAGCTCACAAGTTTGAGACCAGCCTGAGCTAGAGCAAAACCCCATCTCTAAAAATAGCTGGGTGTGTGCTGGACACCTGTAGTCCCAGCTTCTTGGGAGGCTGAGGCAAGAGAATCGCTTGAGCCCAAGCGTTGGAGGTTGCTGTGAGCTGTGACTCCACAGCACTCTACCAAGGGAGACATAGTGAGGCTCTGTCTCAAAAAAATAAATAAATAAACAAATAAAAACGGATAAACTAATTGGGCACCGTGGCACATGCCAGTAGTCCCAGCCACTCAGGAGGCTAGGGCAAGAAGAGTTCTCAAGTATAAGAGTTCAAGGTTACTGTGAGCTATGAGGCTAGGGCACTCTACCCAGGGCAACAGAGTGAGAATCTGTTTAAAAAAAAATACAATTCACTAAGCAAGTTGGGAAATTCACTAAAGGTGGGTGTATCCTTCCCTTGTTTGTAAGCATTGCTTTGTGTCACTAGGCATTCCTAGGCTCACTCCTATAATTCTAGCATGTCGGAAGGCAGAGGCCAGAAGTTCAAGACTGGCCTAGGCAACATAGTGAGATCCCTTCTCTACAAAAAATAGAAAAATTTGCTGGGCATGGCATTTTGTGCCTATAGTCTCAGCTACCTGGAAGGCTAAGGCAGGAGGATCACTTGAGCTAGGAATTTTAGGTTGCTATGAACTGTGATATAATCATGCCACTATATTCCAGCCTGGGCAAGAGAGTAAATAAAATAAAGTTCATTAAGCAAGGTTTTTATGTTTTGTTTTGTTTTTGTTACAAGTCACAGGTTCTTATACAATAAATAGGAGTTGGGAGATATGAGCAATGGTGAGGCTGGGCCTTACCAAATCAGTTTGTCTCTTTCTCTGACAGAGGGTAAATTTGACCCCAAAAGTAAAGGGAAGTTGAATCATTTCTACACCTGATGTTTGCACCACAGTTGTTGGCCTGTGTAAAGAGAATTATTTTTTTCACGGTTAACAGTCTCCTATTGTGTCTTGTTGCAGTTTAAAACTAGATCGCTCTAAGTTTTTACCAACAGTGTACACTCCATAAGTGTGCCCTGTCAACATTCCCTAACGACCTCTGACCAAGGCTGGTACAGTCTGGTACAGAAATACTCATTTTGAACTTTCATGGCGGAAAGAACAGAGAGAAAATCATTTGCTATTATTTCTCCTCATTCCTGTTAATATTGAAATAGTTTCTTCCTTAATGACTTAGGTAATTATTCAGTTTAACAACTTATATTGAATCTCTTGCTAGAGTCTGATAAGTACATGTTTATGTGATATTGTTTGTTTTGCCAACAAAATAAGGTTCACTGTGTCACTTGGGCGCAGAGTTGAGTCTAGAAATAAAATTGCTACTGTAACCTAAGGTCCTACTTCTAATTCTGAGCACCAATTAGCAAATTGGTCAGGTTTCAAATTGGTAAAGATGATGCAGCAACACCAAATAGTCATCATGCTCATAGGTAGCTCTGAAATCATAAGAGTTTCGAGAGTGCCCCAGCTTTTCTTCCATTAAGTTTGCCTGCACCATCAGGGACTATAAGAAGACACAGGCCTGTGGCTCAGTGAGTAGGGCCCTGCTCCCATATACTGAGGGTGGCAAGTTCAAACCCGGCCTGGTCAAACTGCAAACAAACAAACAAACAAAAAAAGCCGGGCCTTGTGACTGGTGCCTATAGTCCCATCTACTCGGGAGCCTGAGACAAGAGAATTGCCTAAGCCCAAGAGCTGGAGGTTGCTGAGCTGTGATGCCATGGCACTCTACCAAGGGTGACAAAGTGAGACTATGTCCCAAAAAAAAAAAAGACGATGACACAGGCACATACACCCCCAGTATGACGTAGGAAAGCCTGCACCTGAGTTTTTTAAAGTTGTGGCCAACAAATGTCAGCTAGTTCCACCTGTCCCTGAAGATTCTGAATCCCTTGGAAAATGCTTTCACTTGAACATTACATGTTCTACATCCTCATTTATCTTTGGCACACCTTGGGTCTGCTTGGAGGCCCTTCCTGTTGGAAGCTATTCTTTGACTTCTTCCCATTTTTTTGACTAAAGACAGAATGCTTAGCTCAGGTTTCTCTGTGTTGCCAAGTCATACCAGTTCTACTCAGCTTCGTTTTCTAGCTGCTCATCAGGGAAACAGGCATGCATGGAGCACCCTGAGATAAATGTCACACGGGGGCCCTCCCGAGTTGTGCCTTCCCTAGGTGGACAGCCGTGCACCTTCACTGGCTTCACTTCTGACTCACCAGTGTCCATTGCAGCCTCTCTCTGCCCTTTCCAGAGTTTCTTTCACTTCTTTCTCAAGTCCCTTTTCTTTTTTCTTCTTGTTTCTCCTGTCTCCGTGTGTATCTGCACAGTGTGTGTTTACTGTCACAAAGGCACATTTTCAGACCCCTACTCCTGTGGTGACGGACACTCTGAGGGTCCCTATGCCAGGACTGGCCTTTTCCCATCAAGTGAGTCATATGGGAAGAAGGGGATATAATCAGATGGCATCTTTATATTTAAAAATTGTAAATAAAGTACAGGATGTTATTTAAATGTCCCAAGCATTCTGGGGAATTATTTTGAGGCTTGGTATAATAGATTTTAACAGGACACAGCCACAGCCGCCCAAAATAGGAGTTTTCATTTGCTCCTTCTACCATCGATGTGAAAAATACTTGGAGTTATTTTTATCAAATTTCCAAATAAACAATTCAAGACTGGTGTTCTCTCTCTTTTTTAATATAAATAGAAACCCTCCCACCTCCTGGGGTGATGAAGGGTGTGATTAGAGAAGATGGCCTTCTGTTTCAAAGGGACCTCAGGACAGAGGAGAAGAGTGACTCTGGAAAACCTGATGGCTTTGGCTCCAAGTTCTGCCCAGGCTTGTGCTCCACAGATCTGCTGGGGCTTAAAACTGAAGTATTAGCTGAGTCTCTGGGGAAAGTGGGAACAAGAAACTCATTTGAGGCCTTTGGGAAGTTCCACAGCTGGGAATCCTGATCTCAAACAAATTTCTGTGTTTTCTTCTCTAAAAAACACGTGGCGTGGTCTGTCCTTACCCCTTATCCTATCAGGCCCCTCTACCATGGGCATGTGGGCTGGGAGCCATTCCCTATCTCTTTACAGGGAGCTCACTTGTTAGTTACACTCTAGGATTGCCTACTTTTTCCTTGCTTTTCCTCTGCCCCTCTTTGTTTTTCTCTTGCTTAGCTCTCAAGCTCTCGCCTTTCCTATCAGCCTGCTGCCTTGGGCGTTGGATCAGCTGACCTGGCTTATCCAGTAGTGTTTGCTGCTGGCTTAAATGCTACACACCCTCACCAGGTATCTTTCAAGCTGGGGAGGACCAGGGGGTTTCCAGTGTTACCTTCTCTGACCACAGCCTGAAGTTGACCACAGTTGAGGGACCTCTTACAGCACAAATATTTTTCTAAGTACTATTTTCTAAGTACTATATTCTGAAGCAAAGTGACCCTCTTTGAGAGATAAGAGCCTCCTAGACTTTAGAAAGGAGAGAAGACTGCCAGGATTTTTCTCCCTGTCTTTCCTTTTCCCTCCCTAGTCATTGTCATGCATGTCTCCTGTTAACTGAGTCCCAGAGAGGATAAAGACCCAGAGATTCCTCCCCATTTGGTAGCAGCACATTGGTGGTGGAAAGCTCAAAAGCACGTACTATTATGCTAGGAAGTGAGTTCCCCCTCCTCAGTGTTCAATGCTGCTATAATTCACTATATCTTTCCATTTTTCCCCAAAGCTAATGGTTCCTGGGAAGGAAGGTGGGGTACCCCTTGCTCCCAACCAGCCTGCCCACGGTGCCCAGGCTGACCAGGAGAGATTGGCAACCTGCGCCCCTTCTGACGGGGCCCACTGTGCTGCCACACCTTCCAGCAGGTGAGTTGATGTGGTTCTGCTGCTGCTATGGCTGGCCTGGGCTCCCTGACACATGTGCTTATTTGGTACAGTCGGTACCAATGTGCAGTTTGATACATTTGCTTATCAGTAAAGAGTAGTTTTCAGCATTGACTTGGCCTTGGCATTTGTGCCCATAGTGTGGACTCCTTTACATTCCCTGATAAGAATCTGATATTGCAGCTGGAATGTAAGGAAGCTAGACTGGGGTTTCACTACTAACAGGAAATAGCAGTGACTTGGTCCTTGTCACCTTTATCCAGTGCCGGGGCTTTCCAGTATTTTCTCTTATCCCAAGATTTATCCTTTGGAGTCAGTCCTTGGCGTTTCCTGAGGACCAGAACAGGGTGTTGACCACAGCCTGAAGCCTAGGGCCATAGTCTATCTGTGGTTCTAATTGGTTTGTCTTTTCTAATTACCAAGGTGATACGGTTTATAAAATTCAAGTAGTCATGAAGACAATAATTAAGTAGGAAGTGAAAGTTCTCATATTTCCACGCTGTAAAAATCTCTGCTGTCACCTCCCTTTTAGGGATGAAAGAACCTCTAAAGGGTTAAGTGGTTGGCCTAAGTTTACTTATCTCAGTTTGTCTGACTCCAGAGCCTCCACCCCTTCTTTCCATAACACTGGGCTCCCCCAGGACCCTGAGGGCTGCCTTGGCCTGGCCTGCCCTGCCCTGATCTCCCTTGATCTGGAAAGCCCCAGAGGTAATAAGATTGCTTTGTATCCCCACTTCCACATTCTAAATGATCTTTCTCATCAGAGAAATTTTCTCATTTTTTCCCCCCATTCTCACAGTGAAGTGGTGGGAAAGGAATTTTTTTTTTTTTTTTTTTTTGGTGGTGGAAAACTCAAAAGCATCCTCAAGCTGTCCCCCTGGGTAGAGTGCTATGGCATCACAGCTCACAGCAACCTCCAACTCCTGGGCTCAAGCGAGTGTCCTGCCTCCGCCTCCCAAGTAGCTGGGACCACCAGCGCCGCCTGACTATTTTTTTGGTTGCAGCCATCATTGTTTGGCAGACCTGGGCTGGATTTGAACCTGCACCTTAGGTATATGTGGCTGGCGCCTTAGTCACTTGAGCCACAGGCACGGAGCCGGGAATGGAATTGTTTAGGAAGATTTTTTGTGCCATCACCAGGAAAAATAATTTACTTTATTCTTTTTTTTTTTTTTTTTGAGACATAGTCTCACTATGTCACCCTCAGTAAAGTGCTGTGGCATCACAGCTTACAGGAACCTCAAATTCTTGGGCTTAAGCGATTCTCTTGCCTCAGCCTCCCAAGTTGTCGGGACTATAAGCGTCCGCCACAACACCCAGCTATTTTTTTGTTGCAGTTGTCATTGTTGTTCAGCTAGCCCAGGCTGAGTTCAAACCTTCTAACCTCGGTGTATATGGCCGGCACCCTAACCACTGAGCTATGACAATTTACTTTATTCTTGGCTTCTCAAACTTTATCTTCTCTCTTCCCTCCCTCTGCTGGATGATCAAAGTCCTTTTATGCTCTAGTTTTCTGAGCCTTGACTCCTGGGGCATGTCTGGGAGTAGCTAAAGATACAGACACCTGTGTAGGGGGTTCTCAAATGCATGTCCTAAGAGCCCAAAAGCCTCCATGCAGATTGGTCCTCTGTGCTGACAAAAGTCCAGAGCCCACTTAGACTGTTTTGTCCTCCTGCCCACCTTGAGCACCTGTTTTTGGCCAAAGGATGTTTCCTATCCCCTGCTGTTTATAGGGGTGGTCTGGCAGCCACAGCCTAGGGCCCCATTTTTGCTGCTTGGAGACTCCTGTCCAGGACTCAGCATCACTCTAAAGGGCTGGGGAGGTAGGAGGAGGGGTAGCCAAATGGAATGTGTCATTCAGAGACCTTCAAGAACAGAGAGATGAGCTCTGTGCCTATAGCTCAGCAGCTAGGGTGCCAGCCACATACACTGGAGCTGGCAAGTTCGAATCCAGCCCGGGACTGCCAAACAACAATGATGGCTGCAACCACAAAATAGCCAGGGGTTGTGGCGGGCGCCTGTAGTCCCAGCTACTTGAGAGGCTGAGGCAAGAAAATTGCTTAAGCCCAAGAGTTGGAGGTTGCTGTAAACTGTGACAACACGGCACTCTACTGAGGGTGACATCATGAGACTGTCTCAAAAAAAAAAAAAAAAGGAATGATTGAGGGCAAGGAATGGGGAAGAAACCCGGAGAGCACAGAGCATGGAGAACCTTAGCACAGGCCATTGTTAGGTGTGGGCGAGCTCTGGCTGGCTAATGAATAAAATTTGGAACTCTTCTTTTTTTTGAGACGGAGTCTTATCCTGTCGCTTTTGTCGAGTGCTGTGGTATCACAGCTCACAGCAAACTCTAACTCTTGGGCTTTTAGGCCACTCTCTTGCCTCAGCCTCCCAAGTAGCTGAGACTACAGGCACCCACCACAACACCTGGCTATTTTTTTTTTCTGATTCTTTAATTTCTTTTTTTTTTTTTTTTGCAGTTTTTGGCCGGGGCTGGGTTTGAACCCACTACCTCCGACATATGGGTCCAGCACCTTACTCCTTTGAGCCACAAGTGCTGCCCCACCTGGCTATTTTTTGTTGCAGTTTGGCCGGGGACAGGTTCAAACCCGCCACCCTCAGTATATGTTGTTTAGCTGGGCCAGGCCAGGTTCAAACCCTCCTGGGTTCAAACCTTCCCACCCACCGGCACCCTACCCACTGAGCCACAGGTACCGCCCAAAATTTGGAACTTTTTTTTTTTGCAGTTTTTTTTTTGCCAGGGGTGGGTTTGAACCTGCCTTACATGGGGCCAGCGCCCTACTCCTTTGAGCTATAGGTGCTGCCCCAAATTTGGAACTATTAACTTTGAATAATGGCAATGTCTCTTGTGAAGTAAGGCTTAAACTTAACATTACACAGTCTTATAGTATTTTTACAAAACAAAGAAAAGTTAAAATTTGGTGTCTGGCTGTATAATAGATTAATGCTAAAATTACAGTTGTTTATGGGCATTGGTGACCTGTATCTGTGATTGCTATGTGCATGGTAACTGATACTTATTATTGGTATTTCCCATTAAACTTTAAGCTTTAAGTCAGTGATAGACTAAAGTGAAAAACATTTTTTCACTAAGTTTTACACAATTGTAACACAGTTTCATTCATATTTGTATAACTCTTGGTTGTTCCAGGAACTGTAGCCCTCTGCTATCTACTCAAAAGGCAGGATGACAGTGGTAGCTGCCAGACCACATACTGACATATTCCATGTGGATGGGCCAGTGGGCCAACCCTGCCCTATGCCAGAGCCCCATCAGATGGTAGATTTATAGGGAACCAAGTCATCTCTGCTGTGGTTTGAGAACGAGTACTAACCTTACCTGTTTTCCCCAGTGAGGATACTGAAACCGTATCAAACAGCAGTGAGGGACGGGCCTCCCCCCACGATGTCTTGGAGACCATGTTTGTTCGAAAAGTGGGGGCTTTTGTCAACAAACCCATCAACCAGGTGATTCTTCTGCCACTGCCAGCTATGAGAATGTCTGAGCCCTTAGAGAGAGGCCCTGGGGGTAGCATTCTTTGCCTGACACCGTGGAACTTTACAGTAGCATGCACAAGTATGTGTAACCTGTGACAGTCCTCCAGAAAAAGTCAAGAGTTACTGTTCTGTAACCTTCTGACCTTTTCAGCCTCCCACAGGAGAGGGAGACTAGACACCATTTGGCGTAAAAACACTGTGCTGTGTCATTGCCTCTGCCTTGCTTCAACTAGGAATTTCCTCCTCAGTGGGGCCAGTGAAGCATGTTGTTACTGAATTACTATAGGTCAAACTTCCAGTGCTGAATGCCCAGGGTGCCCAGCCCTTGTTTATGCTGTGGGTATGTGTGATGGGGGACAGGGAGGCAGGAGAGCTTGGGGTCCCTTAACAAGATGGGAGTTTGAGGGGCAGTGTGGTCAGCGTAGGTGTGTGAACTTGCTGGGCCTCTGGATATCTGGCAGCCGGTAAGGAGGCACGCACATGGGGGAGAGCCAGCACTAAGGCTTTTCTCCTCCATGTCTTTAGGTGACTCTGACGAGTTTGGACATACCCTTTGCCATGTTTGCTCCGAAGAATTTGGAGCTGGAGGATACTGATCCTATGGTGAGCCCACCGTTGACTACCAGTTTCTAGTAGCTAGTGCAGTATCACCTTCCTTCCTGGGCTGGAGTCACTAAATCCTTCACAGGCCATTAGTCATGTCCCTTGGCTTAGAGATTTGTAACCAGCATTAAGTTCCTGCCCAGATCCTCAGGCTAAAAGTAACTTGTGTCCAGGTCACAAAACAAATCCATAACTCTGCTTCACTCTGAAAACAGGTGAATCCTCCAGATTCCCCAGAGATAGCTTCTCCTCTGCAAGGCAGCCTGCACTCAGACGGCTCCAGTGTGGGCAGCAACGGCAATGTGCATGACGACTTTGTTATGATCGACTTTGTAAGTTGCCATCACCTCCCTGACTTTAGCTGTCTCAGGGGAAATGAACCTAGACATACACTGCACTTGAACAAGATTTCCTTCACAGGGATCAGATGGGCTGGTGCAGACAAAAGGAGTGGGACAGGTAGGGGCCTGTCTGGGGAGACATTTGGAGGCCCATGAATAATAAGGTATTTTGTGCCATGTCTCTGGTTGAAATTCATAAAGAAATTCAGCTCTATGGGTGGCACCTGTGGCTCAAGGAGTAGGGACACCAGCCCCATATACCGGAGGTGGTGGATTCAAACCCATCCCTGGCCAAAAACTGCAAAAAAAAAAAAAAAAAAAAAAAAAAAGAAAGAAAGAAAGAAAGAAATTCAGCTCTAAATGGAGATTTTTTTCTAGTGGTATCCACTTAGGTCCTATCTATGTAGACCCCAGATAGATAAACCTTGGTTTAGGAAAAAGAGTGTGAAGGAAAGGGACATAAACCTAACCGGGGCAGAGGAATATTATCAGCAGGATCAGAAGTCAGCAGGCCAGGAGAGAAAGGTGAAGCAAGATTCCTCTCCCTCAGATGCACCTGAACAAAATGATTGGCAGGAGTTTGTTCATACCTTTTTTCTGTGTGGCTCAAGTAAAGGTAAACTGAATCTGTCTTCTTTTTGAAGAAACCTGCTTTTTCTAAAGACGACATTCTTCCAATGGACTTGGGGACCTTCTATCGTGAGTTTCAGAACCCTCCTCAGCTAAGCAGTCTCTCCATAGATATTGGAGCACAGTCCATGGCTGAAGACTTGGTACGGAAATGCCTGACTCCACTATCAGGACTGCTCTGACCTCCCCTCCTGTGATGGTCCTTCCTTTTACTCCTCCCCATCCCCTACCTTCCTTCTTCCCCTTAACAGGAAGAGACATTTTAGGCTTTTTACCTTCCTTTGATCACCTTTGACATTTGCCTTGTACCTGGCAGTCATTATCTGAAATTTGTGTGTGCTCAGTCCTTCCTTCCTTCCTTCCTCCCTCTGCACATTCTCAGCATTGCTTACACACTGCTGTTGTCATGCCTCATGTCCTCTACCTGCTGGGACCACTAAACCAAGCTAGTCCAACAGCTCTTGCATCCAGCTGTTTCATTTGCCAAGCAGACCCAGCGGTGCTGGGCAGAGAGAATGGGAAGTCCTGAGTGTTAACATTCTTTGCCCTTTCCTCGGAGGGCTCCTTCCTCTTTCCCTCATCTAGCCATTCTCATGTTTGGCCATGTTCTGATACTAACTGTAATTCCCACATCTCTGCTTAGGGCATTTCCTGTTTCTTTCCTCTGAAGGGCACAAAAGTACCCTGCTTAAGCCTCAGATGTCACCATGAGATGTCAAGGTCCCTTTGTCTGAAGTGGAACTCCCCCTTCCCCAGCACCTGTGAACATTAAGAAGCCCTAGGAATGAACAGCTGCCCCTGATCTGCTTTAAACAGAAAAGTATGCTTACTAGTGACAATACAGTGATACCTACTGTTATTATTAATATTTATTTATTTATTTTGAGACAGAGTCTCAAGCTGTCACCCTGGGTAGAGTGCTGTGGTGTCATAAGTCACAGCAACCTCAAGCTCTTGGGCTTAAGAGATCCTCTTGCCTCAGCCTCCCAAATAGCTGGGACTATAGGCACTCAACCACAATGCCCAGCTTTTTTTTGGTTGTAGTTGTCATTGTTTGGCTCAAAGGAGTAGGGTGCCAGCCCCATATGCTGCAGGTGGCAGGTTCAAACCCAGCCCTGGCCAAAAACTGCAAAAAAAAAAAAAAAAAAAAGCCCACCAGCTCTGTTACATGTGGCTGGCACCCTAGCTATTTGAGCTACAGGCGCCGAGCCTATTATTAACATTAACATTTATAATGGCTTTCAGAGTGCCAAGCATTTTTCTAAGTACCTTATGTAGCAGCCCTAAGAGGTAGATTTTCTTATTGTCCCAGTTTACAGATGAGAAAACCAGTTCTGTGATTAATGTGTCCATGGTTACCCAAAGCCAGGCAAAACAAAGCTTTGGTCCCAGAGGATCTGGCTCCTGGATGTAGTCTTTTAACCACTAACTCCCCTGCCTCTCATAACATGCACTTGGCATGAAATGGGGTTCCAGTGCTCTGGATGTGAGGCTGCAGGCAGTGATGCCGGTTCTGAGGCTTTCCTCCAGCCTTAAGCAGCCAAAGTAGCCTTGGAAGTCAGTGTGTCTGGGCCACATTACAACCAACCTCTCAGATACCTTGTGCTTAGGCCCTACTGCCAGGAACTCTTCCTGTGATGGTTAAACTCTACAGATGCAATTTATGTTTGTTTAATCACCAGTGGTGACAGACCACCTGCTTAGGATCAGATTTTTATTCATAACCGTTGATACAGAGGCAGTTAAACTTCTCACATTCTGTTTTCCTCTGCTTCTCTCTTTTTTACCATTCTCTCAGCCCTCTCTAATCCCCCCCCCCCCCCCACACACACACAGCTGGTATAAAGATGGAGATTCCTGGGCCATGACACAGACCTGCTGATTGAGAAATCTCTTGGGAGTGTGGGGGTTCTAATGCCCAGCAAAGGGTGTGAGAAAAGATGAACTTTTCTTAATTTATTGCACTCTGCACTTGCTCTTTTATTCTGGTGTCAGTCTGATCTGTGCCAGGGATATTTCTTGTTTAGTTTCTGAGTCCTCTTATTCTTGTCATGGTCCTTTTCTCTCTTGTTGAGTATATGGCCCATTTGGACTCCCCAAACTGTCAACCCTCTGGGCCCTACAAAGTCCTAATAAACTGACATATACCCACACCCGTTTTATCCCGTCCCTGCTCAGCTGCCCTGCGTTCTGCTTGCTAGCTCAATGCTGCCCAGCAGGGCTCTTTTTCCCATTCCCTTCCTCATCTCTGGGGTCTGAACTGGCTGTTTCTTCAAGGCTCTACCTGAATAATCAGCTCTTCTCCTCCCTTCTTGTTATAGGACTCATTACCAGAGAAGCTGGCTGTGCATGAGAAGAATGTCCGAGAATTCGATGCCTTTGTAGAAACCCTGCAGTAAAAGTGTCCTGAGTACCAGCAACACCCCCCTTTTGTGGCCCCAGGGGACAGAGAGCCTCCCATCCATCAGCTGCTTCCATCCCTCATCCTATTCCAAGCCAGGTGGAGGAGAGGATGGTTTCCCCTGTGGGGACCCAAAAATCCCTGCTCTTGGACCTCCTGGAAACTCCATAGCAACAGTTAAGCCCAGTACAGCAGTCAAGCCCAATACCAGCATTGAGAGGACTCCCCTCTGGCCTTGAAGATAGGAAGACCCTTTGTACAAAAGGACGCTCGGAAGGCTCATCTGAGTGCCCTGCCCATTGTCAGCTGATTCACAAGGGTGTCAATCCTGTTCCTCCTGCTGCCAGCCTCCAGTCTGGGCCTGCCCTGAAGCTGGCCTCTTGCCTGCCTGCTGTTACCATCAACCATTTGACATTCCAGCTGGCAGCCCAGAAACTGGTACGGAGCCAGGAAGAGGAAGAAGACAGCATTGGGAGGAAGGAGAGGGGGGTCTTTAGGCTCTTTGTTGTCTCTTTCACCTCCTGCTAGCTTCTTCCTCTCTCTCCCTCTCTCTGCCACCTGTGCCTGTACTTCTGGCAATATGACAGGCCTGTCCTCCCAGGATAGTGAGAGCTCCAGAGCTAGCCAGCCCCATCCCGAAGGTGGTGCAGCCCTTCCTAGAGGGTCTGAGCAGCCCTTGGCTGCCTGTGCTCTGCTCCTCAGTGACATGGGAAATAACAAACAATCCTATGTCCCTAGAATTCTGTCACTGGGAGTCACAGCAAAGGTTCTTTTTCATTTCCTTCCCCATTGCTGCTCCTGGGTTATAGAACACGGTAAATATTTATTACTTTCAAAGAAATCAGATATTTTATAGAGAAAATATGTTCAAGGTTAGATGTTTTCACTTGGGGAAGGTGGAGGGCCTCTTCCTGGGACAGAGGCTCTGCCTGTGGAGGTGCCTCAGAATCCGGTTGCTGCTCTGAGGAATAGGGCTGGCTAAGGGCAAAACAACCTTCCAGAATTGCTACATTCGAATTGACTAAAGGCTTTACCTGGGACACTGACATATTCCTGGTGAGAGCCTTGGGTCTCTCACAGCTTCTGCAGAGTAACTGACTCCATTCTGGCTGCCCAGGAAGTCTTGGGCGCTAAATGTGATAACCGTGCATAGTGCCCAAGGGACTTTGTGTGTCTCCCTCCTGCTAGGGTACTTGTTCCTGATCTTTGGGGCTAGACTGTGGAGCTTTTCCTCCTCCTGCCTAGGCCTAGCCACCACTTTCCTTTAGTCCCAGGGTCTGTATACTGCCCTGGGGTTTACTAGCTGGGTTGGTGTCTTGAGAAACCAAAGCTGGGCATGTGATTGACTTAACCCTTCAGGTATTGTTACTTGAATAAGTCAAGTGCCTAGCTGCACCCGCCTGTCACTTGTCCTCTCCCAGTCTTGCTGGGAGCCCTGACTGAGGAGAGCTAGGCCTGCCCCTTGCCTCCTGGCCAACCTGGGGCACTCATCAGTAGTAGCTGTGCACCTCCATGCAGCAGGTGGCTCTCAATTGCTTGTTACTAAACTGCATGTGACACCGTTCCACCTAGGAGACCACTGAGGGCTGAGGCAGGCTCTGGTCGGGGCCTTGGGCTCATGCATGCTTCAGCTGCCACAAAAGAAATGTTCCCAGCAGTAGTGGCCAACTCCTGTCTTTGAGGCAGAGCACTTGGGTGGCCTGCTAAACCAGATAAGCCACAAATCCCTGGCTCTGAGGAGGGGAAAGGCCCCTGACAAATTACTGATCCTCCCACCCCAGCTGCTGACCTCTTTACCAGTCCTTGCATGGAAAGGCCTGTTGGCCGTTGGCTGCAGTTGTCCAAGGCAGTCCTCTTGGACTCCCTGTTGGCATCTGCAGGCAGCAGCCTTTTACAGGGCCCCACTGTAAGAAAGCCAGGAAGCTTGGCCCTTTGAGCTGAACCTGGAAGAAACAAAGCAACTTAGAGGCTGGCCCTTGCCCCTCATCTGTGTACCATAAAAAGTATGAGCCCTAGACTGACTCCTGCAGCACCCTGGGGACAGGCTGGGACCAGCCATCTGTCTCCAGGTGGCAGAGTCCCTCCTCCTCCTCCAGCCTATTTTGTTTGGAAATACTGAGCTACACTTCAAGATGTATTAAAGAGATTTCCAATAAAATCTTTTCTGTACTTTACAGCCTCCTATCCTGCAAGTTGTCTTAAAACCTAGTATTCCAAGCTCCCCACTACAGGTCTGGGTTACCAACAGCTTCCACAGAGAGGGAAAAGTGGGATATTGGGAAGCATTGAAAGACTTCAGAGATGAGCAGGGCTGCTGGAGTCCTGGGGCTTGGCCATGACCGCTTACCAGCTGTACAACCCAGGGCTGGTCAGGAAACCTGTCAGTGCCTCACTTTCCCATGATGGGGCTTGTACTTAAATATTCTATGAGGAAGGATATTAAGTACACCCCTATAAAAATCTCCATAAAATTTAGGCCACTGTCATCATCCCCTTACATAAAAGACAGCAAGAAAGACAAGGTCTCAGGTGGGAGTAAAGGGCTCCCCAAGCTGTCTGGGGCCTTGTAGTGGCTGAGTCAGGCCAGAGAGCAGCCTGAGAAGGGAAGGGGTGGCAGGAAGGGTTAGGAAGTTAACTGCCCTAATCTGACCAGAGGCTCTAAGGAGGCCACTGGGCCATTCTGAGGAGCCCTGAAGAGCAGAAGAGCCTGGTGGGGATTAGTCGCCTGGCCTCCAGGCACTGTAGCCCCTTAGCACCACCCTGTGATGGGTTGGGGAGCCAGAGGTGGAGCCTATATCTCAGAGGCAGAGATGGTTGTTCTCAAGCTTCTTTTTTTTTTTTTTTTTTGAGACAGAGCCTCAAGCTGTCCCCCTGGGTAGAGTGCCATGGCATTACAGCTCCCAGCAACCTCCAACTCCTGGGCTCAAGCAAGTCTCCTGCCTCCGCCTCCCAAGTAGCTGAGACCACAGGCTCCTGCCACAACGCCCGGCTATTTTTTGGTTGCAGCCGTCATTGTTGTTTGGCGGGTCCGGGCTGGGGATTCTAACCCGCCATCTTAGGTGTATGTGGCTGGCGCCTTAGCCGGTTGAGCTATAGGCACCAAGCCGGTTCTCAAGCTTCTTAATGCCGCGCTCCTTTAATACAGTTCCTGTGGGTTGCGACCCACAGGTTGAGAACCACTGTTGTAAAGGCAAAAGAGAAAAGCTGATGAGCGCTGGGCAACTGCTGTCTGGGCTGCCTCCCCACCCCCTTCAGGCTGAAGCTAGGCCTCAGGACAAAAAAGAGCTGCTTTTATTGAAGGATATTAAAAAGAAAAAGAAAAAGAAAATTCTAAATTCAGCCAAAAACTAGGGCCTGGGAGCCCTTGCTTTTAGTAACCTGATTGTGACACTGGCCATGTACCCAGCTAGGACAGAACTGCCTAAGACCTGGGTCACACATGAAGAGACTGTCTCTAATGTCACCTTCAATTGTGATCCCCCTAAGCAAAGTGCTTGCCTGTCCATTGACTAGCAACAGTGTCCCAGCAACCTCAAACTCCTGGGCTCAAGTGATCCTCTTGCCTCAGCTTCCTGACCTGGCTAATTTTTTTCATTTAGTAGAGATGGGGTCTTGCTTTTGCTCAGGCTGGTCTCTACCTGTCTTGGCCTCTCAGAGTGCTAGGATTATAGAATTGAGCCATTGCGCCCAGGCCTGTTTTCCTTTTTCTTTTTTTCTCAGGGTCCCACCCCTTTAAAGCATCTGCCCACACTCCACCCCAGAACTCCCGAATGGTAAAGTGGCATTTGAGTCACTCAACAGGAGCCTCACCAGAAGCTCAACCCAAGTAAACAGCTCCCTGGTCTTGGTCATTCTCCGGTGTTCCTGGGTCACTGCCTCCCTGTCCCGAAGTCATCCACCTAGAGCCAAGCAGATCCAGGGAGAGAGAGGAGGTCCCTAATGCCTCTGCCTCGAGGTACCTGGATGAGGGCCACAGTTGTGCAATGGGACTGGCTTCCTGGCACTGGTTGATAACCAACTTAACACTGTCTGATCCCATGGCTCACCCAGCAAGGAGAAAAAAGAACAGGCCCAACTGAGGCCACAGTAGCCTCCTGATTACAATTAGCAGGCCATAAATACCTGGAACTTAACTTTAACAGCTGTGCCGCTCGGGGCCTGTGGCTCAAGTAGCTAAGGGGCCAGCCACATACACCTAAGGTGGCGGGTTCGAATCCAGCCCGGCCCGCCAAACAATGATGGCTGCAACCAAAAAATAGCCAGGCGTTGTGGCGGGCGCCTG